GGCTCTGAGCTGTCAGCACAGAGCCCAACGCCGGGCTCGAATTCATGGACCATGAGATCATGACCTGAGCTGAAGTTGGACGCTTAACCAACTGAACCACCCAGGTGCCCCTCAAACAGCATTTTGTTTTAAAGACCCAACCATGTTGCTGTGTTCACACATCTGCCCCATTGCATCGAACTCCATGATGGGCATCCACACATTTACTCAACAATCCCCCTAGGGATGGACACGCAGTGGCTGCCAACTCCCAGCCACCACAAAGAACACTGCAAGGCACATCCTTGTACGTGACCCCTTGTGGGTGTGGAAGAATTTCTTTGGGATGTATAGCCAGGAAAGAAATTGCTGAGTCATGGGGTATGTATATACTTAATTAAATGAAATAGTGCCAGATCCTTCCTCAGAGCTGAAGGCCCCACACTTACCCTGGTAGCACTTGAACATCCCAGGATGCCTGTACGTCCCTGACAACACTGAACACTGCCCATCCTTCTAATTTTCTCTAGCCTAATTGGTGTAAAATTGTAGCTCACTGCTGTTGAAATTTACATTTCTCTGATAATAAATGAGTTTGAACATCTCCTCTTATGCATGTCAGCTTTTAGATTCTGCTTCTGCAAATTGCCTGTTCATAAGTTTTACCCATTTTCCCGTAAGGGTGCCCATCCCTTTTCTTAATTCACAGGTGCTTCTTGCATATTATAGGTGTTAGTCCCTAGTACATTATGAATATTGCAAATGACCTCTCCCATTCTTTTATTTTTTAATTTTTTAATTTTTTTAAATATTTATTCATTTTTGAGAGACAGAGAAAGACAGAGTGTGAACAGGGGAGGGGCAGAGAGAGAGGGAGACACAGAATCTGAAGCAGGCTCCAGGCTCTGAGCCATCAGCACAGAGCCTGACATGGGGCTCGAACTCACGAACCACAAGATCATGATCTGAGCCGAAGTTGGATGCTTAACCGACTGAGCCACCCAGGCACCCCAACCTCTCCCATTCTGATAAATGTTTTAATGGCCCATTTTAGTCTACTTTTAATTTTGACATAATGAGACTAATCGATGTTCTGTTCTATGATCTGTACTTTCCAAGTCTTAAGAAGTTGTTCTTTGTCACAAAGATTTGAAGATAATCTCCTTGGTTTTCTTCTGTTTACTTTATAAGTGTATCTTTCACATATTGGCCTTTAATACATCTTGAGTCTACCTTTGTGTGTGGTGTTAGATAGATATCTAAGTATATTTTTCTCCACACATTAAGCCAGTTTTCCTGACACTATTTACTATGCTTACCATCTTCCTCCCAGTAATTTGGATTGCTATTTTACCATATTTTATAACTCCCCATATAGTATATAATATATTGAGTTCTGAACTCTCTCTTCTGTCTCACTGAGCCATTTGTCTACTCCTGCACTCACTAACACTACACTTTTTAAATTTAATTATTTTAAACACTACACTTGAAAAACTACATTATTTTATTTTTGCAGCCTGTCTTAATATCTGGTAGGGCAAGAAGCTTATTTCTTGCACCACCACAGCCCTATTCTCCTTACCACTTACATCACCATGCAGGAAATACACTGGTCCTCTCCACCCTTGACAGGAGCCATTTGCAGACATCTGTTCCCTCCTGATTCTGGAGCCAGGCTTCACACTGAAAAAGGCACATCCTCATTCAGGAAGAGAGAGTTGATCCTGCCCAGGAAAATCTGCACAATGTCTCAAGCTCAGGTTTTGTTCCTAGAAACTTCATTTCTCCCATCAACTCCTCTGTATCAGCATACGTAACACCAACTAGAGTAGCACAGCTGCTGGAGGTTCTGTCCTCTCTTGTTTCAAGTGCGGATGTTGGGAGTGTGCCCCTGGAGCAGGGGCTTACGCAAGTCACCAAGAGTGCAGGCTTCTTTTTGCTTCTTGCAGTCGTCTTTATCCCGTGGCTTTTATCCTTGTGGTGCCAAGTGGCTGATCTATCTCTGGGCATCCCCATTCTTGGTGGGAAGGGGATAGGTTCCAAACATAACACCCACCCTTTTATCAGCAAAACAAAAACTTCCCAGGGAAATCCACCCACTGGGTTTCAGCTTACATCTTGTGCTTAAAACTGGATCACCTGGCCACCCACATGCAGGGAGAACATCTTTATCCGGATTACGTGCCACCCTGAGTAATAGTTGGGTTTGTGTGGTAATCCAACAACTACATCTCAATTTTGCCCAGGCTGCCCTGTGCTGAGTCAGACAAGATCACAACACATCAATCTCTGCCTCCGGGCCCACACACCTCCCTTCTGATCTCCTGCTCAACCTTGAGTCTAGACCTGACCCAGAATGCTTCCAGGCTGTGCCATCAGGAGAAAGAAGCATGGGGACAGGGTAGGGGGTGGGGGAGTCAAGCACAGTGCTTCTCCTAAACTTTTCACCATAGCTTTGGCAGGTGTTAGATCAGCGTATTGCCTTTAAAAGTGTTGAAGAGAGGTGCCTGGGTGGCTCAGTCGGTTGAGTGTGCGACTTCGGCTCAGGTCATGATTTCACCCTTCATGAGTTCGAGCCCCGCATGGGGCTCTATGCTGACAGCTCGGAGCCTGGAGCCTGCAGCCTGCTTCAGATTCTGTGTCTCCCTCTCTCTCTCTGTCCCTCCCCCACTCACACTCTGTCTCTCTTTCTCTTAAAAAAATAAACATTAAAAAATCTGTTAAACCGTTGAAAAAACTAGAAACTACCCGATGTCCATTGATAGTAAAAAGGGTAAATAAATTGGAGTACATTTACACAAAAGTAAACAGTGCCATAATGAAGAGACATCCACAACTATAGACAAAAATCTGGGTGAACCACACACAAATATAAGACTGAGCAAAACAAGCCAAACACAAGATAATGCACTGTGTGATTTTATTTATATGCATCTATTATATTTCCATAAATCTATAAAAATACATTTATACTTATTCATACAAAGTTTATAAGTGGGCAAACCCAATGGATGGTGATAAAAGTCAGGAGGTCACTGCACTTGGCAAAGGGTAGTGACTGCAAGGGGGCCCCTAGATCTTCTGGGGGAGCTGTTTGTATCTCGCTTCTCCATCTTGGTGCTGGTTACAAGGATGTCTTCTGTTTTGTGAAAATTCATCGAGTTTATAATACTCATGAAAAGGGCACACTTCTGTTTGTACATTATCCTTCAATGAAAAGTTAATTTTAAAATATTGCTAAAAGGACGCCTATAAGAGACACGCTTGGCTGTTTACCTACCATCCATGTTTCTCTTCTTCTTTGATAGGAGAATCTTCATTTTATTCAGGGAGCAGCTCCTTTCCTCAAGCCTCCACTACTCAGGGGACATTCTGGGCTCAGTCTCGGAAAATGAATCCTGATTGGTGCAAATCAACCATGTTAATCCATTTCCTCTAGCCTGCGATTGGTTTAGGAAAGGGCATGTGACCCAATTTTGACCAATAAGAATGAAGGGAATTCTGCTGGGGCAGTTTCTGGGGAAGTGTTACCCATCTCTGAAAGATACTCTCTGGGGGCCCGTGGTGGCTCATTTGGTTAAGTGCCTGACTTCAGCTCAGGTCATGATCTCACACTCCATGAGTTCAAGTCCCGTGTCGGGCTCTGTGTTGACAGCTCAGAGCCTGGAGCCTGCTTCACATTCTGTGTCTCCCTTTCTCTCTCTGCCCCTCCCCTGCTCATGCTCTGTCTCTTTCTCAAAAATAATCATTAAAAATAAAAGACATTCGCTGCAGTCATTGATCTTGAGGAACCACACACCAAGGAGAACCAAGAGAAGCAGAGAGAAGTGTAACAGGAGCCCTGACAGCCCTTACCTGGATTACTTGGTACGCAAAGTTAAAACCTAACTATTCAAGCCACTTAGAATTTTTTCCTGTTGCCAAGAGCAGATCGACCAACAGCATCATTTTGGAAAAGATACTCAAGATTGCCCCTCAGCTAGCATTCTGCTCTCTTCTACATTTTGCCCCCTAACCTTCCAACTTTGAGTTATCTCCGTCACCTGCAATTATGTCAGTATTATTTGTCCGTATTTTGCACCATGGCACCCATCGTGTGCTTGCTTACAGAGAGCGGTTGGACTGTCACCTACATTCTTAGGCTCCTCTCCCTTTCCCTCATCTTCAGAACCATCTTGTAGCATCTTCTAATCTCTCACTCTGACTGCCCCCCCCCCCCCCCGACAACTCCTTCTTATAAGGACCCTCCTAACACTCCTCTGTACTCTGTGGTCATTCTATTCATATCACTTACACGCTTATTATAGTACATAATTTGTCTATCTCTTTACTATCTGTCTTCCCCTGTGAAAATAGGAGCTCCGTGAGGCAGGAAGTTGCTCTCTGTTTTGCCTGTTGTGGAATCTCAGCATCTGGAAGCTTCCTGGCACAAAATACCCACTCAAACAGCATTTGTGAAGAAAACGCAGAGCGGCTTGAGCAGATCTCTGCTTCTTGCAACTGAAATAACCCAATAGAGCAAACACAGCGGCGTGGACGGGAGAAGTGACTTGTTCCTGGCTGCCCGGTCATTCAGTGAGTGCGGGACACCACACAAGAGTCCACTTCTCCTCAGATGCTTTATTTCTGGGACCAGATTTGGGTCACAGCTGCAGAGCAGGGATGGCCTCTGGGTCTGAGGAAGGAAGCACCGGGGAGACTGAGGTGCAGCCCTCACATTGGTCATTCTGGGAACTGTCTCTAGGACCTGAATGGAGAGACAGCATCAGCCCACTGTTGGGGAAGGGGGACCCTGATTCCAGGAGACTTGGAGGGGCTGGAGAGATTGAGATTGCTAATCCCTGTTAGGGAACAGGGGTCTGGAGGGAGCGTCATGGTCCCTGCAAGAGTGAGGACCGCAGAGGATGGGGCACATCAGAATGCCCAGTCCCGGGATGCCTCATGAGTTGGACTGGATGGTGTCCTGGATCCACTTGGTGAATTGGCAGAGGTTGGTGTAGACGCCGGGTCTGTTAGGCTGGGCACAGGGAAAGTCTCCCCAGGACACGAGGCCCTGTAGGGAGCCATTGCAAACCACAGGCCCCCCAGAATCACCCTGTGGAGGAGAAAGGTGCTCACAGAGAGGCAGAGATGTGGAGAGGTGGAGAGAGGGAGACACACAGGTGAAGAAAGGCCAGGGTGGCAAGAGATAGAGATACAGAGGCGGAAAAAGTAGAGAGGTGATGGAGACGTAGGTGAGAGAGAGGGAAGGAGAGAGGGGGAGAGAATGTTAACGTATCACTGTAAATCCAAACCTTAGAAGTTCTGTTTGCCCCTCTCTACCCAACCCCCACCTGTGTCGCCCTCACTGGGTCTCCCGGTCCCTATTTCTGTTTCTCTTTTCCAGCTTTCGATCATTGTATTTCTCCTACTGGACATGCCTTCTTTTCCCTTCCTCACTCTTCGCCTGCCCTTGCGGCAATCCACCTTGTTCTTACACACCTCATCTTTGCAGAGAGGTAGTTCTCAGCCTTCGGATGAGGCTTTCTCATCCTGGGCACCACTGACATCGGGGCCAGGTCATTCTTTGCTGTGGTGACCATCCTGCGCGTTGTAAGGTGTTCAGCAGCATCCGTGACCTCTATGCACTAGATGCCAGTAACCCCCTTCCTCCCCAGGGGACAGCTGTGACAACCGAAAATATGAACAAGCACTGCCATGTGTCCCCTGGGGGTGGGTCTGGGGGTAGGTTGAGAACCACTTCCGTGGGTTGCCTGTGTTTAACTCCCCACAGCTCCAGCAATTCCTCTCCTATAATAATACCACTCTTTATCATAGCCATTTCTTATGAGTGCTTATGCGAGATACTGGTATCCAGTATAAAGAAATCCAGAGCCTGGCTTCTTTCTTTGTTAGCCCTGTTTCAAGGCAAAAGAGCCTGGCCGCCTGTGAACCTCTAACTTTCAACTTTCTTGCAGATTAATTGTTTTCATTGTATGTTGCTTACTATCCCGGCAGAACTTCCTTTGAGAGGCAGTTAGTTCACTGCTCTGAGCTTGCTTCCTCCTCTGTAAAACAGAGCTATCGATAATGGCTAAGTGAGTTAATGAGCTCATCCATGTACATGAACGACATAAAGCGGGGTCTGAGATTAGCTGCTATTATTATGATAGTATTAGTGGTGTTACTTTTTGCTCCCAGGGGCCACACCCTGACCACACGCTGGTATGAAAAGCTACTTGAGGTCTGCAGAATGAAAAACAAAGTGCTAAACGGGGCTCCAGAAAAGCTACAGTGATTTTAAATGCTGACCCCTGTGGATTAGATGTGTTTTCTTCTGATAAAAATCCCTCTCTCTCTCCAGATATGTGTTTCCATGTTACGTGGGGACAGAGACGATATTGGGAAGTTGCTGCAATTGTCAGGTTTGTAAAAT